CCTCCTGTACTCCACCCTCCCCGTGCTCTACATCGGGCTCTTTGAGCAGGTGAGCTTCTCTCGTCCACCTTGGGGCCCTGCCACGTAACTGATGGCGGGAAAGGCTCGGAGACCACCAGGCCTGGGAGATGTCCAGGCATGACACAGGTTGGCCCGAGATCACTTAGGATTGGCTCCCCCATCAATGGACCGAGCCTTTCTGTCCCCACTCCATTGTGGGGCCCAGGACCTTTGGGGCCCAGAAGGGACAACCCCTTTAGGTTCATCCTGTCCCTAGCCCTGAGAAGTTATCAGGAGGGTGCCAACTCCCCTCGGAGATGGGAAATTCCCACCTCCATGCCATCCTGTGGGGGAAGGGTAGCCACCAGGTTCAGACCAATGAGCATTTGAGCAGAGCCGGTGGGCCCCAGGACCAGAATTGTATCTCCCTCCTTGATCTTCTCACTTAAAAACCAGTCATTTTCTGATCCGTGAGTGGAAACACACGGACCAAAACACATGCCAATCCGACCATCTCTGCACCCATGGTTCGGGGGCGCTGGCTTTGTTCTTCCAGCGGTGCCACCGCCCTTGCCATCCTCCCCCAAGCTGTCTGCCACCTTGACCGTAGGCTCACCGCCCGAGGGTCTTACGGTTGTTTGAGTGTTTAAAACGCTACTTTCGTTGGCAGTTGTTTTAAAGATCCTTGATTCGTTCAGACGTATTGGCTCCAGAAAACCTGGGTACCATGACCATTTGACCATTTTGGTTCGCGCCCCCCCCCCTCCTTTTGATCTGCACTATCTGCAGTCTTTGAAGGGCGCTTTCTGCTTCCCTTCCTTGTCATTCGTCATTCGGTGTGAAGAAAGAGCCAGAGCTCTCATGGGGCCCTCCCCCTGTGCCGAGAGCCCCCCTCTGCCCGCCCCGCCTCTCCCTCCAGGACGTGAGTGCCCAGAAGAGCCTGCAGATGCCGGAGCTGTACGTGGCGGGGCAGAAGGAACAGCTCTTCAACTACTGGGTCTTCTTCCAAGCCGTGGTCCACGGCATGCTTACCTCGCTGATCAACTTCTTCATGACGCTGCTGGCCTGTTGGGACCGAGGGGAGCCGAGCCTCTGCGACTACCAGTCCTTTGGGGTCATCGTGGCCCTCTCGAGCCTGCTGTCCGTCACCGTGGAGGTAAGAGCCTGCTGGCCGTCACCATGGAGGTGACCCGGAACCCTTGGGTCCAGGGCCACAGACCCTGCCCCAGGTCCTCCCCCCACTCCGCGCCCTTACTACAGTGACACCCCCCCGCCCCGGGCAGGTGATCCTGAACATCAAGTACTGGACCGTCCTGTCTGTGCTGGCCATCGCCCTGAGCGGCGGCTGCTACGCCTTCATGACCTACGTCTCGCAGAACGAGTGGTTCTTCAGGCTCTCCCCCCACACCTTCCCGTTTCTGTGTAAGAACCCCCAGCCCCGTGTGGACGGGCCGGGCGGGGCGCCCCCGCCCCAGCTGTCTTGGCCGCCCACTGGGAGCACGACAGGATGAGGGCAGCCCCTGCCGCCTGCTCCACGGGGGTGGGGTGGGGTGGGGGGCCCAAGGAGGGGACACCGGTCCCCGCCACCTGGTGCTGCCATCGTGGAAACACCACAGCACAGCAGCCTTCCCGGACCTGCGCTCCATCCGGGGGCTGTCGAGGGCAGTCCCGATGCGGAGAGACCCCAGGAGACAGAGTTGAACCGCACCAGGGTTTTCTGGGGCGGGACCGGTTTGCATTTTTGGCCAGCTGTTGACCCAGAATCTCAGGTTCCCCTGGGAGAGCCCCCCCGACCCAACCCGGCAATGGGGCAGTGGCACCCCTCACATTTCCCACCTGGGGTCCCCATCCCCATCTATCGCGTTCCCCTTCTGGGATGCTAGGGTCTTCTCCCCGCGCATCCCCTCCCTCCGCTAGGTTTTGGCTTAGAGGCCGACCAGATGGTTTCCCTTGGGGACTAAGGCCATCTCCCCGCCGCTGTGTGCGGGCCGCTCCGCTTTTCTGTCCACCGTGGCCTCGGGCGAGTTTGGGCGCGCGGTTTGAAGGCTGTCCCGGGTTGCTGGTCTCCTGTGGTGCCCACGCTGTCAGGTGTCAGCCACAACTCACAGGAGCAGGACGAGTTGGTCTGGCCCCTTTTGAAGGGCGTGGGCTTCGTTCTGTGCTTCCCTCTCAGGCTTAGCAGAACCCGTCATTGTGCTTCTAGAGAGATCAGCCCGTGGTGGCACCCGGGCACCACCTGCTTCTGGTCTCCGCAGAGCTGAGACCAGTGGCTGGCATCGGCTCTCCGTCTTGTATCTAATGTCCCTTCTCTGCGGTTTTGTGGGCCACCTTCTGACTCCTTTGCCCCTGGGGAGGAGCCGAGAGGCCAGTCGTTGTATCTGATGGGCACACTCACGTTCTTAAGACTCCGAGCGCGCTGCTCCCAACACGAACCAGTTGAGGCAGATGGACAGAGTTGTGGCCCTCACTCCTGGGTCCGATGGGGCCCTGAGCGTGCAAACCGAGGAAACCAATCGCAGAAGGGGTTCGGTTATGACCGGGGAGTCCCCCGGAGGGTGTGTCGTCAGTGGACATAGGGGAAAACGTTAAGGATTCTGCGGGGAAATGGAACTGAAAGGTGATGGAAGATGTCCACACGCGTTTTGAAGCCCTGCCCGCCCTGAATCCCTGAATCCCTGCACATGTGGCTGCTTTGGTTCTTGGCTGTCTTCGAGTCAATGCCAGCCCCTGGCACCTGCTGCCCGGCAGAGACTCTGCCCAGTCCGCGCCGTCCTCCCGGCCCTTCTCCGTGGAGCCCACTCGGTCTCCTTGAGGACCTTCCTCTTGTGAACGCTGCCCTGCAGGGTGTCCCCTCCCCGGGACTGTTCTCTGCTGACGACGTGTCCAAAGTGTGGGAGACAGAAGCCTCAACGCCCTAAGGAGCACCCTCGCCGGGCTTCCTCTGAGACACACCCTGTGTGCTCTGGTGGCGGTCCCTGCTTCCCCAGCACCGTCCTGCAAAGGCACCCAGTCTTCCGACATCCTGCCTGATGGAAAAGACCCTGGCTCGGGCCAGGCCCACCCTGGTCCTCAAAGGAACGCCCTTGCCTTCCAACACTTTCAAGAGGCCTGTGCAGCATCTGATGGAACGCAACGCAACGCAACTTGTCTTTGGGTCTCTTGACAATGGCTGCTTCCACGAGCCTTGACTGAGGATCCCAGCAAGACAAAACCCGCAACCACCCCCATCTTCTCTCCGCTGGTCCTGACGGACCTCGTGGTCCAGCTGCGAGGAGTTTGAGTTTCTTTGCATTGCGTTGTGCTCCAGAGTGAAGGCTGCCATCCTCGGCCTTCATCAGCAAGGGCTTCACGGCCCCCTCCCGTTTAGCACGCCAGGTGGTGTCATCTACCGATGGCAGATTGTTAACGAACCTTCCTCCAATCCAGAGGCCACACAGTCTTCTTCATATCTTCCGGCTTCTGGGATGATTTGCTCAGCATCCAGACTGAACAACTGTGGTGAGAGGATGCACCCCTTTCCTGATCTGAAACCACGGGATATTGCCTCGTTCTGCCCACACGACTGTCACTTGAGCCGTGTACGGGTTCCGCAAGAGCACAAAGAAGTTTTCTGGAATTCTCACGCTTCTCAAGGCTGCCCGGCGTTGGTTAAGATCAACATGGTCGAATGCCTTGGCTTTATCAATGAAACACAAGTAAACGTCTTCCCGGTGTTCTCTGCTTTGAGCCAAGATCCATCTGACAGCAGCCATAATGCCCCTTGGTTCACGTCCTCTTCTGAATCTGGGCCGAGCCTCTGCCAGTTCCCTGTGTGTTTGCGACCGCTGCTGGGTGGTCTTCCGTACAATTTTACTTGCACGCGGCAGCAATGATGGATTGTTCGATAATCTGGACGTTCTGTCGGGTCACTTTTCTTGGGAATGGGTACTAGTAGGGATCTCTTCCAGTCACTTGGCTAAATAGCTGCTTCCCAAGTTTCTTGGCATAGGAAGTGAGGGCTTCCAGGGCATCATCAGCTTGTTGAAACGTTTCAGTGGGCATTCCCTCGATTCCTGGAGCCGTGTTTTCACCCGACGCTTCCAGGGCAGTTTGAATGTCTTCCTTCAGCACCATTGGTTCGTGCTCATCTGCTGCCTCCTGACATGGTGGACTGTCAACTAGTTCTTTCTGGTACAGAGACTCGGTGTATTCTTTCCATCATCGTGTGATGCTTCTTGCATCATTCGATACTTTGCCCATAGAATCGCTCAATATCGCAACGTGAAGCTTTAATGTTTTTCTTCAGTTTAAGATGTGCCAAGCGCATTCTTCTGTTTGGGTACTCTGACTCCAGGTCTTTGCCGTTTCATGATAATATGTTGCTTTGCCTCCTTGAGCATCTCTGTTCAGCTCTTTGGCTTCATCCTTTCTTCGGTTTGCCTTACTGTGTTAGTCCGGGTGGACTAGAGAAACAAATCCAGAGACACTCACAGATGTGTAAGAGAGATCCTTCTGTCAAGAAGTAACTGGGCATCATTGAAACAGCCCAGTCCAGTCCAAAATCAAATCCATAAGTTCAATATCAGCCCACCGGTTTGATAGTAGCCCACAAATTCCTCTTCAGACTCACGCAGCACATGCAATGATGCCGAATGCAGGAAGATCACAGACCGGTGGGTGGAAAGTCTTGTGGGTCCAATGGTGGTGGAAGCATCCCCGGGGCTCTGGCTTCCATCAGCGTGGGCCCATGTGGCTTGTCTACAGGAAGATGAAGCAGAGAGAGAGTGCTTCCCGCCTTCACGGAGGAAGAAGAAGTTCCCAGAAGCCTCACGAGAAAATCACGCCCACAAGGAGGGATCAATCAGTCTGTAACCTGATTGACAGGCTAGACCCCACCCCTCAAGTTGGCATAAGATTGTGTAAGGACTGCACTTAGCTACTCAGGGTCTCTGCTGACACCCACGTTGAGCTTTTTCCTTGTCTTTTTAATGGCCTTGTACTCTCTTCATGAATGATGCCTTGATGTCTTCCCACAGCTCACCAGGTCTCCTGTCATTAGTATTCAGCGCCTCCAATCTATTCTTGAGATGCCCTTGAAGTTCAGGTGGGATGGACTCAAGGTCATAGGTTGGCTCTCATGGATGCATTTTAATTTTCTTCAGCTTCAACCGGAACTCAGATTTGCACGATCGATGGCCTGTTCCACAGTCGGTGCCTGGCCTGGTTATAGCTCCCGGCATTGAGCTGCTCCACGGTCTCTTCCCACAGACGTGGTCAGTTTGATTTCTGTGTGCTCCTTCTGGAGAAGTCCATGGTCTAGTCAGCAATTGTGCTTGTTGAAAAAAAGGTATTTGTGACGAAGAAGTTCTTGGTCTTACAAAGTTCTATCATGTGATCTCCAGCTCCATTTCTACCACCCAGGTCTTATTTTCCAACGGCTATTCCTGTCTCTCTGTTTCCAACTTATGCATTGCAATCACGAATAATTATCAATGCCTATTGATCACGTGTTTGATCAATTGCAGACCGAAGACATTGGAAGAATTCATCCGCGTCTGTGTCACTAGCCTTAATGGCTCAGCACACATTTGCATAATCGTTGTATTGATTGGGTTTTCTTGGGTATAATCCGATCACAGATGCATGATGCTTCAAGACCAATCTTGGAATGTCCTTCCCGATGATGAAGACAAGGGTGTTCCTCTCGCTTGGGTCATTCCTGGTATAGTAAGCCCCAAGATCTGTAGCGGCCTCCTGTCCGTTCCCAGAAGGAAAACAACCCAGCTCGCTGGCAAGTTCAAAAGAAAAAGTTGTATTTCCTGCGCAGGCACCTCCAGTCTAATTTCCCAAAGGCTTTTATGCTTTTGCAATGTGCAGGTGTGCAAGCAAGTAGAGCACAGAAGCAGGATATTGCCGTTCACCGTTCTCAGTTGAACAATAACTGCTCTTCGTTGAACAATAACTGCTCTGGTCGTTTTCGCAAGCCTTCTGAACACACATTTCCTTTGGTCCATTCCGTTGCGCTTTGTCTGCACAGCCTGCCTCCCTAATATCAGCTAGTTCATTTACAGTTCATAGCGAGCTCATTTATCGTTCACAACGGCTTCTGTTAGCTCAAAATAGCTTCAGTCTTATCAAGGCTGTTTAGGCTTTTCGTAAAGCCACGACAGCTCTTCCAGCTCAAAACGGCCAACGCCAGTCCATGCTGGCTCACTAAAAGATATCCATCCTCTTGAGTTCCAGTTCATTTTGGGCAGCTTCCAATTTTCCTGCATTCGTACTTCGTCCATGCCACGCTCCAATTATTAACAGATGTTTGCAGCGGTCTCTTCTCATTTTGAGCTGTGCCCCCATCAGCAAATGAAGGTCCCAAAGACTTGACCCCCCCACACACAAGTTTTACTTCATTCGCATGTTTACAGTTGACTCTGCTTTGAAGAGGCAGCTCTGTTGGAAAACAAAAATGAAAACAACTCTCCAATGTGCTAAAAAAAAAAAAAAAAGCCAAGCTGCCACTTTGAGGGCTAAGGTGTTTGCCTCACTCAAGCCCTGGGTTTTTCACCGCTTCATACACAGGCAAATGCCGGACAGCGAGTCAGGAAGGCCGAAGAAGGATCGACCCACTTGGGTTATGGTGTTTGACCCCAGGAGTATTAACTATACAAGCGATTTCAAGCAGAAGAATGGACCACTCTATCTGGGAACAAATACAGGATGGTGCGACTTTATCTCCCAGACTTAAGACGTGTTATCAGGAGGGACGAGTCCTGGGGGGGGGGGGGGGGAGAAGGATAGCACGCGTGATGAAAAAGAGGGAAGCCCTTGGTGCGATGGATTGACACAGTGGCTGCGACAATGAGCTCAGACCCAGCAGCGATGGTAAGGGTGCCTGCCTCTCACTCTGGGGTCCACCGTGTTGCTGTGAGTTGGATGGCACCCAACAGGCAACACCAGCTCATGATCACGAGCATCTTTTTGCGTGTCTGTTGGCTGTTGGCACGTCTTTTTTCCAGTGAGGCTTCTGTCCCTGTCCTTTGATTAGCTGAGTCATGGGTTGAATCGTATCTGCCCCTCACCCAAACCTGTGTCAACTTGGCTGGGCTATGATTTCTCTCTCAATGGTTTGGCATTGTGCAACGATGCAATTTGATAGACATAGTCTGGCATATAGCGATACTAATATAGGGGGATTTGGTGTATGTGTATGACATAATTTAGTTCTGGAAACAGATGGTTAAGTGTGGAAGCAGTTTGGGAAATGGATAATGGGTAGAAACCGGAAGAGTTTGGAAGTGCCTACTTACAGCAAACGCCTAGATTGCTTTGAAGAGGCCGCACGTCAGCAGTCAGAGGCACCTTCTGTGAAGGTGAAGATCCCGCAGGAAGTGAGGAGAGCTGTAATGCTGGAGGCCACACAGGTAGCAAGAAGCCGTGACAGACACAGGGCAGCAGCAGAAGCCAGGTCACAGGGCTAGATGGCATGGAGGCTGAACCTCGGAGCAAGAGAACCACATGCCCCCAGAGGTCCAGCAGGCTTTCTGTCAGAGTAGGGTGTCTCCGGGCACTTTTCGGCAAGGCTAGGCTGGACCACTCATGGCGTGAGGGAGCGGAGGGCCTTGGGGCCGTGGCTTAGGGGCAGAGTGAGCTGGTTCTGTTACTCTCGCCCTGAGCAGAACAGAGATGGGGTCGAGGCAGCACAAGATAGCAGCCTAACCTTGGTCATCTCGGAGCTGGCTGGCCCTTAGGTGTTTTTGAGCTCGTCTCCAGGGAAACCATCCGTAATCCTTCTTAGAAAGGAGTGGGCCCTACTTAGGGCAGGACAGACAGACAATAGGGTCTGATGACTAGATGGCAGACAACCGTCAGGCAAGTAGCCTTCAAGCAGTTGACCTTCAAGCGTGTATAGTAGCAATCATGTGCTTGCAAGTAGCACCTTAAAATTGGCATTATAAGGGGCAGGGGGACATCGTGGGGAATAATGTTGACTTAGGAGAATGTGACTGGGACGCACCTCCAACTTACAGACGTGAAGGTCTCCTTCCACCAGAGCCCCGGCCTCCCAAACTCCTTAACGTATGCGTGTTGAGTTTGTTTGAGGACACGCTCTTCCTGGTTCTGTTCCCCACGGTCATTCTCACACCCAGAATCCAGAAAGCATGGCCACCATCCAAAGTCTGGGGCAGGGAAGGACCGATCCCTAGACGGTCTCAAAGAGCAGAGGGTGATTTTCAAGGCTTGGGAGCAGACGTGAATGGTTCTGCTGGGCTTTGAACCTGCCTGGTGCCTGTCCTTCCTGCTTTCCCCCTCCGGCTCCCCCCATTTGTAATGGAAACGTCCCAGGGTGCCGTCCCCCCGCTGAGCTTTGGAAGCGGACAACTTGCCATCTAGGTTTACAAACGGAGAGGCAGCCTGCCCCAGGATGCACTTGGAGTTGACGGAAGACGTTGAGGGTGATAAAGACGACGTGAAAGGCGTGGTGCCTGTGGCAGGGCGTGAATTGTTGCAGGAGCCCAGAAGCTAGAGGGTCATGGATTGATTTGTGTCCCTCCCCCAATCGCGCCAACTTCACTGGACCATGGTTCTCCGTGGCCATGGTTTTATTTGGTGGTTCCTTTAATCGTGCTAGTAATTCCCCGTCGTGTGAAAGCCAGAGTCAAGCCCCAGACCGGGTCTGATGTCAGGGGAGTCTCCCTGGCTGGCGTGTGGGCTGCATCGCCTTTTATCTTACAAGAGATCATTAATAAGAGAGAGAAGCAAAGGAAGAGGGGGTTCGCCACCACCAAGAAAGAAGGACTGGGAGTCAAGCGCATCCCCTGGCCCCCGGGGGGTCCCTGTGCTGGGAACCTCCTAGGCCAGGCCAAGATGGATGCCAGGAGATCCCCAGGGCTGTGGAGAGGAGACAATGACCTTCCCCCAGAGCCGACAGAAAGAGAGCCCCGACTTCTGGCTTCCGACACTGTGAGAGGGTGAAGTTGGTGTCTGGGCAAGCCACTGTTGGCGGGTGGCTCTCTGCCACGGAAGTACTGGAGAACCAAGGCAGGCTGGAAGCCTTGCGGAAGCAGGTGGCCGGATTGCTCTCCTGGGGCATCCCTTCTGGGAATTCCCACCCTACTGCCATTGGGGTGATCCTGACACCTGCTGACCGTCTGCGAGGCTGTCTGTCTGTGCCAGAGTAGGCTGGCTGACCTTTGCCCCGAGGAGGAGCGGTTAGTAGACCAGGAGCCGTGGTGGGACGGGGCTTAAGCCATCAAGCTTTCTGTGAGCAGCTGAGCAGGGGGCTGGTGCAGCCCCAGGCCTCCTCCCTCACAGCTGAGGAGACGAGGCACCCACACCGGAGGCGCTGGCTCTAGGGGAAGGCCTCGCCCCATCTGCTTGGCGGGCCACCGAAGCCAGCTCTCTTCCCCAGCGTGCCCTGCTTGTGTCTGTGTCTAGTCAGCTCTGTGTCGACCTTGGAGAAGCATTGGTTTCAAGGTACACCCTTCAATGAGATTTAAAAAAAAAAAAATTTTTTTTTTTGGGCTTACGTGACTCAGGCCCCAATTCCAAATAGGATGACCGTACATCCAGTTGTCAGGTGGCTCTGAGTCCGTCCCTCCCCGGCCCCAAGACAGAAGAGAATTCCCACAAAGGGTTTCCTAGGTCGCTGACCAAAAGGTCAGTGGTTTGAACCCACCGGTCACGCCATCAGAAAAAGGTGAGGCTGCCTTCTTCTGTCAAAGATGCACAGCCTCAGTGTGGGGGCCGGGGTGGGGGTGGGGGCATGGGACAGGACTCTAGAGAGTAGTTCACTCTGTCATTGTGGGTCCCCAGGAGTGCAGTGACAGTCATGGGTTTGAATTTTTCTTTCTGATTTCATCTTTATAGGGGGAGGGAGATCACCAGGCCTTTCCTCCTCATCCTCCTCCAAAACATTCTGGCAGGTTATCAGTTGGGAGTACCCCATGGTTGTACCACCAGCCCCCCGCCCCCATGTGCATATGTTGTTTATTTTTGGTGTTCACAGCGGGGCATGTACCAGCTCAACCATTTCTAACACATGGGTATTTTTCGGGAGGTGGTCAGTTACAGGGCCTCTTTTGAATTCTCACAGAGCTATCCTATGGGCTGGTGACATCCTGGGAGGGTGCAGGAGAAGGTTCCTCCCGCCTCACCAGGTGCTTTGGGGGTGCCCCCTCCCCAAGCAGGTCCGTGACCCTACCACTGTCCCTAGATGCCGACCGTAATGTCATCTTAAAGCCCTTTGCCCTGCTGGTCATCCTGCTGAACGTGGTCTTCAACACCCTGTGTGTCCTGGCCTTCCGCACCATCTACCAGGTGGTCAAGAAGTTGCTGGTCAAGGTGAGGTCGGCCTGGGTCCTGGTTTCCCATGGCATGCTCCACCAGAGATGTGTGTGTGTGGAGGGGGGGAGTGTGGGGATGGGGACCCTGGCATAAACCCAGTGTCCTCAGAACAGACCCTGGGGCCCCATGGAGGAGCCACGCTTCCTGGGAGGGATGTGACCTGGGGACCCTCAGGAGGTTGTCCAGGGTTCAGATGCTGACACCCGTGAGACTTCAGGTGATGATTTCCCAGGGCATGGGGTAGAGTGGGTGCGGGGTGGAAGTAGCAAAACCAATCATGAAATGGGGGAGACAAAAGTTGAGAAAGTGCTTAATGGCTCACAAAGCTGAGACATGGACGGTCAAGGTGGGACCCAGGCATGGACTGGAATGGTGGACCAAGGACCCAAGACCTTGACCATGGCCAAGAGCCTGACACCGTTGCTGCCACACACAGCAGGACACACAGCTACGCGGGGTGAGACACACAGCTACGCGGGGTGCTCCTCTCCCAGCTTTGCCACCAGAGGGCTCCCAGGGGTCTCAGGCCTTGGTTCAGAGTCAGGTCCTGGGGAAGGCCTCCCATTGGCCAAACTATGGTAGGGAAAGCCTCCCATTGGCTACACTAGGGTAGGGGAGGCCTCCCATTGGTTACACTAGGGTAGGGGAGGCCTCCCATTGGCTACACTAGGGTAGGGGAGACCTCCCATTGGCTACACTAGGGTAGGGGAGGCCTCATTGGCTACACTAGGGTAGGGCAGGCCTCCCATTGGCTATACTAGGGTAGGGGAGGCCTCCCATTGGCTACACTAGAGTAAGGAAGGCCTCTCATTGGCTACACTAGGGTAGAGCAGGCCTCCCATTGGCTACACTAGGGTAGGGAAGGCCTCCCATTGGCTACACTTGGGTAGGGGAGGCCTCCCATTGGCTACACTAGGGTAGAGCAGGCCTCCCATTTGCTAAGCTGGGAAGAGCCCATCGGCAAGCAATGCGGGGCAAGGGCACGGTTTCAGAGGGTGGGGGACTCGCGCTGGTCGGTCTGCAGAGTGCGAGGGCCTGACGGCTCCTGTTCTCTCTGTCGCTTGGCAGGTGGAGGAGGCCCCCCCGAGCGAGGAGGTCATGGGGGAACCTATTTCCTACCTGTACCGGGAGGCGCGCGTCCGGCGATCCAGCTACGCTTTCTCCCACCGGGAGGGCTATGCGGACCTCATCACGCAGGGCACCATCCTCCGGAGGGCCCGAGACGCCAACGATGAGCTGGCGGGTGACGAGGACCAGCCCCCGCTGGAATGCGAGGTGCCCCCGCTGCTCGGGGACAGCACGTGGCGCCCGAGGAGGACGTCCCTCCTGGGGAAGAGGAAGTCGTTGCACGTGGAGCCCATCACCTCCGAGATGCTGGTCCCCATATCCAGGAGTCGCTCCTCGGTTCCGAAGCAAGCCTCCACCCTCAAAGAGCAGGCAGCGCGGCCCACTGCCTCGAGGTCCGCCAAGCACTTGGGGGTTTCTTCTCCTGAGCAGAGGCCACACCCGCCTCAGGACAGGTCCCCATCACCTGGGAGGAGGCCTACTCCTCCTCTTGAGGGCTGGTCATCGCCCCCCTGGCAGACGCCACTGTCATCTGAGCAAAGTATCCCTTCTCCCGAGGAAAGCCTGCCGTCGACTTCTTTGCACCCCCCGCAGCCCTCGGACAGTCCAGCGGTGCCCCCTCCAGACCAGCCGCCCAATGTGGGTAGCGAGCCGACCTTGCAAGAAAGGCTGTGGCTCTGGACACCCAGGAGGCTGACCTGGCCGTTCAGCTGGCTAAGGAAGCCCTTCCGATGGGCGGAGGAGCCAGCAGCCCACCAGGCACCTCAGACGCCCAACAACACCCCGCCACAGACCACGGACGACTCCTTCGTAACTGAGCAGTCGGTGGAGGTGGAGTTCTGGCCGCTGGAGAGACAGCCGTCATCCGTGGAGTGGCTGCCGGCCCAGGACCACCTGGAGCCGGAGCCCTCTCCTCCAGAGAGGCGGGAGGGCCAGGCGTAGTGCCCCTGGAGATAGGAGGTCCTCCCCGGAGAATAAGAACTCTGCTCGCCTTCCTTTTTGAATCAACCAAGGTCCATCTGACCCCAGGACGCCTTTAGGCAGGGCTCCCGCTTTCTTACATTCAAAACACACCAACAACTCTGACCTCTAGTGGCCTGATGAAGGAATTGCAGGGAAAGTGTGTGTGTGTGTGTGTGTGTCCCCTGGTAGATCAAACTTCCTTACCTCCAACACCTGTCTGCTGTGTGTGTGTGTGTGTGTGTGTCCCCTGGTAGATCAAACTTCCTTACCTCCAACACCTGTCTGCTGGCCCCTCAGGGGACTTTGTCAGCTCTGACTCTGGCTGCCCTGCTTCCTTCCCTTCCAATAAACCACCAGGCGTACTCCTTAGACGGTTAGAGTGTATTTGGCATAACGAGTTAACACGTTGAGACACACCCCCTCCCCAAGCTGGTCCTCAGGAAAAAGACCAGGCTGTCTGCTCCCGCTAAAGATTCACAGCATCTGGAGACCAGAGGGGACAGCTTTACTCCGCCTCTTGGGGGCTTCAAATAAGGTGTCAAAAATCGGGACAGTCCCGATTTTTAACAAATTTTCCCGTGTCCAGCGGCGTTTTTAAAAAGTCCTGATTTTTGGAAAGCATGCACAACAAGCTAGGGTAGACGGTTTTCAGCTGCCACATGGCTATTTCGCCAGGA